CTAGATTGAAACCCACTGAAGGGGGACATTGTGTCAAGAATGTAACAGGACAAGAAAATCACTAGAGACTGTATTAATAGTCATTGTTGAACAAAATACATAATAGCTGTCAAAGAAAGGGAACTAAAGTTGAAATCACATTGTGAGGCAGCCCAGCTGCTGACTGCTGTGGTCTCCTTCCTGATGCTGTATCTTCTGCTGATCTGTTTCAACATAGTAATAATAACAACTTGTTTAGCCAACTTTGCAAAGTGAAAGAAGTTGGCTTGGGGTCTGATGGCTGCTGGAAGGGGCAGGAACACAGCCATACATAGTTACGTGTAACCACATAATAATCCATAAATTCTTGTGCGATCACAACCTAAAATGTGTAACATTAAGAAAAAGATAGCTTCTCCAAGTTAGTGTCTGACTGGTTAACGTGCACTGCTGACCGTAGCCTGAAAGATTGCCGGTTGGATCTCCTCTCCCTGCACTGTTCTGCGATGGCATTTGGCTCACTAGGGTTTCTGCAAGATGTTTCTTCTGCTTTCACACCCTATAGCAAGCAATTGTGTGGAGGACCCAAACTGGCAGATTGAGATGGTCAATCAAATCCTGCTCTCTTGGAGATAGACCACCCTGTCAACTATCTCATATTCAGAAGAAACGCTCAAAAATACTGTGGAGAAAAAAATACGTTGAGGAGGAAAATGACTAAAACTACAGGAAATGATGCAAAAAAAAGGTTGAGTGCTGTGCTTAGATCTGTTGTCCCCTTAAGCCTCAACCTTAATTTGAAAACAAAACAAAAAATCTCAGACAGTGTATGGACAAGATTGAGTGTGTTTTCCATTGGGTTTAAAATACAACCTACAGGACTCCTGCTGTTCCATTTTTTAGAATATGGTTACCCAGAACACCAAAATTAGATAACAATAAAAATGAAAATGCCTGTAATAAAAAAGTTCAAGATCAGCCTAGTCCCCTCCTTGAGGCTAATGCCCTCTTATTTAAAGATTCGGTAGTTCCTCCCAGGGAGAGCTCTTGTCAAAGGACTCACAGGACGGTGAAGTCATCACTCGGCATCAGTTGTGTACGTATGCTTTTCCCCAAAGTATTCTGCTTACATGGAGCGTCTTGGAGGAACTACTGCTTGGGGGGGGGGAGCACAAATGCGGGTGTTCTCATCTGTTTGTACTGTATTATTTTGTTTCTGAAGTCTGTGTGGGTAGGTGCCATTTCTAAATCAGAATAACGAATTGTGGTATGACATGTGCAGATCCACATACCGTCTGGTAACTGGAGCCAACAGACAATATGGACAGCACAGACATGGGTAGGAGCTCTGTTGGACATCTGCAGCACTGCTGCTTGTAGGCAGGCTGTAGTAGCTGCACTGTCCTGAGGACACCATCTGGTCAGGGGCAGTTAGAAAGCTTAGAGCGATCAAAGCAAATTATTCTCCCCTTCCAAGGGAGAGGCTTATTGTCCTTTTGCCATACTCATAGATTCTTGTTCCTCTGCAGGCAAATTAAACTCTTCTCACATGTTCACAAAGTTGTTGCATAGGTGCTCCACCCTGGTCTGCTGATCTCACACACACCTGTGTCTTCATTCTTGGCCCACTTCAGTCTTTGTTCTGCTGATGTTGGCTGCCCTGGCTAGCTGATGTTCTCACTTCCTGTTACATCATGGCTTTAAGTCCTTCCTGCCTGCTGCAGGCTGTGATTGCTAATAAAACTCCATTTGCCTCTCCCTCCCTTCAGCGCCATTACATTCGTCTCCCCTCCCTGGAAGCTGCTTTCATCTTACACTGCTTTTGGCTTTCAGGTGTTTTTATTAAACGTATCTGCTCTTTTTCAAATTTATCCAACACTGTAAAGATGCTGGCACTTCAGACACAGCAGAAATATTGATCATACTGTTCAAAACTCCACGATGCAAGATAGATGAACTTGGTAAACAGGCTGATGTGACAGGCAGGGAATGGGGGTCTAGGGGTGGAAAAGTAATTTTGACTTGTATAACCTACACAGCTTTTTGGGGGTTTATCCTCCCATGTTTGCAAGAGGTTAGAGTTCTGGGAGAAAGCTAAGGATATGCAGTATTTTGAAGAGAAGAAATTGTGCTATATATGAAGGAAATGAAAAAACATAGTCACTTTCCCCTTAAACGTGATTCAAAATCATAGTGAAGGTGAGATAACATGAGTATTAAACTGGGGCTGGAAGTGTAATTTCAGATTTATGGAGTATTTTGTTTGAACTTTGTGTAAAATCTTTATTCTCTTGTCTTCACTGCAGCTGTAGCACAGTTTAAAATATCTTTTATTTATGCATTTTTTAATTGGCTGTGTTTATGTGGCAAGAAGACAGAAAATGTAAGTATAGCTTGCATTTGTGAAAGAACAAGTAGGTGGTAGTCTGAAGAGTATGGTGGGAGGCCCTTAAAGGTGAGAGCAAGATGCTTCATTTTTGTCATGGGAGAGATAGAAGTGAACTGAAAGGAATTCCAGGTGAAATGATACGTGAGAGTACACAGGGAAGATCTGAGCTACAATATGTTGGCTGGACAAGAGATAATGAGGGACAAACGATTGCTTACGCTAACAAGTGTAGACATTATAATGACCTGCTGGCATTTTAGAAATGAGAGGAAAAGAAGATTTGGGAAGTGTTGAAGGAGGGATACAAAGTGACAGTTGCTGCATCTGGCTCTTCAGTGGTGCCCAGTGACACGTGAGAGGCAATGGGCACAAACAGAAACACAGGAGGTTCCCTCTGAACGTCAGGAAATGCTTTCTTACCCTGAGGGTGACCGAGCACTGGTACAGGCTGCCCACGGAGCTTGTGGAGTCTCCCTCTGTGGAGATATTAAAAAACTGCCGGAATGGGATCTTAGACAGCTGGCTGTAGGTGGCCCTGCTTGAGCCAGGGCTTGGACCAGATGACCTCCAGAGGTCCCTTCCAACCTGAAGCATTCTGTGATTCTGTGATCTGCTGTTGGAAAAAAAACCCACAACACTTTGTGATGTCTCTTTTTGGATATTCTTTTATTACCCTTTTTATAAAAGGTGAAATAGGTTGTAATAATTCATAGCATATAAAAATTTTTGTGTTAAAAGTGTCTTGTGTTGTCTTGGTGAAACATGAACCATTATGTATCCAAAAGACTTAAAAATGTTTATCTAAGGCAGATGGTTCCTGAAACACTAAGGATCCATAAACAGGGCAACACCTCATTCTGTCTTTATGCTAGTGCCTGGAAATTGTTTTACGTTTCTAACAATACAGTTTTAAGTTGACTGAAGTAATTTTAACTGTCTGAATATCAGACTCTTAGAAATACTAAAGCTTACGAGTTGCGTTGGTTGCAAGTTTCCTATACCGATAAAGTTTGGACATCAGAAGTTGCTGGCAAGTGAGAACATCTTTGTTCCCCTTTCTCCCTTCCCCAGTGCACGCACATAGACGTGCACACACGCACACACAGACATTATTAATATATGTGAGTCAATTTCCTACCACATATCTCTGTGCACTTACATTCTGTTCTGGTTTTGGTGTGTGTCTGTGAAGAAAAAACTATGTTGCCCTGAGCATAAGCTAATAAACATTTTAAAACCCCAGAAATTCCCAGTGCGGAATAATAGGCTTGCAGGGCAAGCTGTGACTGGTATTCAGAGACGGACGGAAAGAGTCCAGAGCGGCAGATGGTAACCTGGGGTAGACAAACTTTGGAAAACTTCTGGCTGGGGAAGTCTAGAGTGGGAGTGTGTTAGTAAATTTAATGTTATTTTGAAACAAGGGAGAAGTCTGTGATGAAAGAGAGAGTGAATTTGCTTGTGTTACATATCGTAGAGTATATCGAGTTGGAAGAGACCCATAAGGATCAGTATCTCCTTTGAAGATTATTTTTTTGTCTAATAAGCAGTGGTTTTAACCACAGACGAACTGTAAATGAGTATGTCAGAACTGTTGAAATTCTATGCAATGCTCTCCTCTAACTGATTTGTATATACTATAAGAAATAAATGTTTGAGATTGTGCAAAAATACTTTTGGCCAAAAATCGATGGAAAAATATAATTAAACAAGTACATTTTGAGGAATAGTGGCATGCGGCCAGCATATTGGCAGTTCATAATGCTTGTATACAATTTTTAAAGTCCTGATCTATTTAAAAATATTGTCCTTGATAATTTTTAGTTTTTCCTTTACTATCCAAAATCTGTCCTTTCCAAACCATGTATTGCTATTGTTATGTATCTTTCTTGGGTACACAGAATTTGAAGGGCTCTTTCTGATGAATTTCGGCTCCTACAGTAATAGTAGTGCTTGATCAGGTTGTCAAAGAGATTCTCTCTTAAAATAAATTTTGCTGGTTTTACACAGTAATAGTCTTGTTGCTTAAAAATGCTGCTGTTTTTATGAAAATAAATCTTTTAATTGGTGGTGCACATTTATTTGTGATATCTTTCACTTCTTTGTTTTAAATAATAATTATTTTACGGTGATACTCGCCCTACTTACATAGATTTAGGGAGCAGTTGTGCTACCTCTGAGCCTTTGTTTTGCTGTGTTCAAAATACCAGCTTTCATGTCACACAGTGGAGCAGGGCAGGCATCGCTTAGCCAGCAGAAATCCAGACTAGTAAGTGCAGGTAGCACAGTGCAGCACAGTGAAGTCCTATCAAAAATAGTGTTGTCGTGCTGGGTTCTATCTGTGAACTACAGTAAGTCTTGCTTTTGTTTTAGTGCAGTTTGACCTTGCTGTATAAGTCAAACACTAATCTTGAACCAATTTAAAACTATTTGATCAAGTACAATTCGCTGAGAAAAGAAATGGGATCTTTTGTGTGTTTTTCAGTAGATCTACTATGCTGTAGATACAAAAAATAATGTTTTGGATTTATTATAAATTTTAGCAATGATAGAAAATTTATTGAGTTTAAAGTGAAAAAACATTTTGCTTAAAAAAATTTTAAAATATGGAGGTTTTTTTTCTTTTTTTCTGTAATTCAGATAGAGTTTTGATTCGGATAAAAGACTTGACAGTGGAGAAGGCTGATGAAGTGGTTTGGGTTCGTGGCAGAATTCATACAAGCAGAGCTAAAGGTGAGATGCTTCCATGGTTTTGATTTCTATTTTGTCATATTGTTAGTATAAACTGAACATGTAGTTTGGCTTCATGACCTGTTAGTTATATCTTGCATACAAAAAAATTTTGGTTCCTCAGTGTTCACTTTGACTGATCATTTTCTCTTTTTCTACCTCTCTTTTCCCAAAAGGGAAAAAGGAAATTTTGTTTTCAGCTGAGTGGAAATTGGGTTTTACTATTACACTGTAGTAGAAGTGAAGTTTGGTTTTATCATATTACTAAATAATGTGTGGACAACTGTAAATAATAGGAATTAAAAATATTATAGTCATTCTGCTTTGGATATTACAGTTGTGAGATAAATCAGTTCTAAGCTTCTATTATAAAACTTGCTTTTATTATAAATGTATTGGTTGTTAGGCCATATTTATTCTCCTGCGTATGAATAGTTTTACTATGCCTTTTATTTGGCAAGAAACAAAAATCTATGTGTTAAAATTCTCTAATTTTTACTTTTAGTTACCAGTATCTGATTATATCGGTTTGAACTTAAAATGAGAAACATCATCTTTCTTTTACAAGACAAAGGGAAAATCCTCTTACAGGTTCTCAGTAGTGCGAGCTGTCATACTTGGCTGTCTGACAGCCATATTTCTTCTCTGGAATCAGAAGTTGTCTCCGGAGATCGGTTTGCCATATGCAAACTTAAATAGGCTTTGGCCTTTTCAGTTGACATCAGATGCTGACAACTGTTGTACTGGTTTCGGTTATGTTTGGCAGCTCTGTAGTGAGTTATAAATACCTTGTCTTCCCAAGAGTTGAAAGAAAAGAGCGTAAAGAAATTATCTTCACCAATTAATCTTAACGATAGTATTAGAATTGGGAATAATGCAGATTAGAGGTGAGAATCCAATACAGAATATTGTCATGGATACCAGGTTCAGTTCTCTTTATGGAGCTTCATTTTCTTAAAAAATATCTCTCTTAATGAGTGTCTATACTGCAGCCAGTTAAAATAAGGAACTGCATGTAAATATATGCATATAATGCACATTTTAACTTGTATTAGACTCTTTAAATTTAGGGAGTCCTCTGTGATTTCCTCAATAGTTCTGTAGTGTGGTCTTACACAGAAGTCTCTCTTTGCTATGTATAGAAACTGTCAACTCCAAAAGCTGTGAAAGCCTTGGTCATTACAACCTGAAGATGTTCAGACAGGAGAAATCTGATTTAAATGTTGCTATCAGTATACAAGTAAGAGTATCCTCATGGCTCGCTCTTTTGCAATTGTAAAAAGAGTTCAGACTTCACAGAATTTAGTATATTGAAGTGTCTATGCAGACTTTTAAAACAATGTAAAGGTCAATGCTTGTTCATTACTGTCTCTGTATTGCATTTATATACGGTATCTTGCATGATATATGCATTTACTTCAGTCAGAATAACATATGTAACATGACAATATTAACTTAAAGAAAGCTGTTTGTCATCCTTCACCTTTGACCTCAGGAAAGACAATGTTTTTTTCATGAAATAACAGCATTTATTTTCAAAACTATTTAACACTGCCTGAAGAATGAAAGCAAAACGAGTTGATTATGGGCATGAAGTGTTCTCAATTTATTGATAGTGCTTCTTGTTCCCTCTTGGTCTGACAACACAGAACAATTCTGACATTCAGGGAATGCTGCTAGGGGAAGCCATATGCTTGTTTATTTAAGCTTTGGGGGAAGGACTCTTACAAGAAAAGCAAATGTTTAAGAGTAAAAGGTAATATTAGCCTTTCCCACACACATCGTGGCACTATTCCTGACATTATGGAAGGTCTTGCAGGAAGCAGGAAAATCTTACAGAAAAATAGCATTAGTTTTTCTCAGAAGCTCGATTTTGACTTGTAAATATCCAACGCATCCTTTATTTAACCCTCTCTAGTTCTGATTAGTAAACCAAAGAAAATTAATGTGCACAATTGCAGAATCCAGCTGTCCCGTATAGCAAGCCACTCATGAAGTCTGATGGAAATTAAGGGAAGGATGCGTAAAGAATGGGGTGTTGGGAATTTCTGTGGATTGCACTAAAATTAAAGTGCTTGAGGCCCTGTGGTTTTTATCGTAGATTGCATAAACGTTATTTCTGGCCTTATTTTAAAGCCTGCTTGAGCTGCTGACCATGTTTATCATTGAAAAGCAGTTGGGAAATCAGTCTGGGTACTGCCAGGCAGCTGGGACTTGTGCAGTGTGTTAGACCTGAACTTGTATTTGTATTTTACAAATGCAAAGATTTATAAATAGTATGTCTGAAAATAAGAGTACTTCCAAGAGCAATTTAAATACTGGACCAAATTTTGTAATATACCATGGAAAGGTTTCTCTTTCTGGCAGTTGTCTGTAACTAGCAATGTATTAATTTATATGACAAAAATTTTGTTACTCTTTATACAAATTCCTTCCTTACATCCTTTTCTCTCAGAAGGTCCTGTGTCATTTGGTATTTACATCCAAGAAAGGAAATGGATTCCTGTTTGGCTTTATGTGCTTACTTTTGATGAGATTCTCTAAGTGGTGTCTTCTATTACTTGTTCAGTGACTGAAAGTTCCTTAGGTTAGACTGAGTCAGATGTTTTTAACCAAATTCCATTTGAAACTTTTTATCTTTTTAGGCATTCTTGTGAGACATGGTATTGGTTTGTTTTATAGGAACTTAGAGTAGTTTACTTTTGAATGGGAGTAAGTTGGTCTTGTACTTTTCACTTAAATACCATGTAAATTTTTTTAAACACATGGAGAACATCCCATAATCCCAGTTTTTTTCTCACTCTGGTGCTTCCTTTTGTCTGTCTCTTGGTCTGGAAAGGCATCTAATCATGAACTAGATTTGATTATGGCTTGTCTTTTTGATACTTTAGTTTGCATATGTTAGGCTCTTTTGGGAAAAGTTCTGTTTTCTCCTACAATCTTCGTAACTTTGATATTTTAACTGTTCCTATCAGTGAGGTTTGTTTGATCGCTTATCTTCTGTGTGATTAGAAATTACTGTATTCTACAAAACATCCTCTTTCCTCATGAAAACAACTACTGTTACTCATGACAAAAAGATTAGAGTCCTTTTATAATGCAGCTATTGATCAGATTGCTAGTGTTTGGGATTACGTACAACTGCCAGACTTCTGCTTCTAATTAGTATGATAGCAGGTCCCTTCATTTATTTCACTATCTTCTCCTTAAATATTTACTAGTTGAGTGACATTGCAGCTGTCTTCAGCTGTGTATTTTTTGTTTGAACACTTGAAACTTGGATCATATTTTGCTAACTAAATTATTTGAAATCATAGACACAAATAATATTTTCTAGGAAATACTGTATCAAACCACACTGTAAGTAAGAAAAATTGAGATGTTAAAGGTGTGAGATATGCCTAGTTTATCCATAGAAAGTTAGCATATTCTGTCCTGTGGAAAAATTGTACTTTTGTTTGTTGACTTGCTGGATCTGAAACACAGGCATGTATACCACTGAAGGCTCTAATTTCTGAATACTCTACTTTTCTAATTTAAATCTGTGGCTTAATGTTTGCCTGCAAGAAATATGTACAAGCATCAGCTTCTTTACTTTGACATTGCAGCCTCTGGAATGTGGAAATAGTTGTACTCTGTTTTCTGAGAATGTGGAGTTAATTTTGTTGCATTTCTGAAATCACAATCATAGGACAAGGTTAGTTATTTCCAATAATTATAATGTTAATTTTTAATAATATTTTGTATTAGTTTTATAGGTTTGGTTTTATGTCCATCAGATTGTATGTCAAATGCTCTGTTCTTATGTTCTGATAGTTTAAATTATCTGCAGCTATGTGTCAGGAATGGTAATCTACATAATTATAAATGAAAACTGCAACTAGCTTTTTACTGTCAGTATTCAAGTTAGATATATGTTGATTTTAATGTTTTATAGTCTAAGTCAACAATAACTGGGAAATAGCTGTCTATAACAAAGCTTCTGGCTTCTTCATATTCTCACCATTTTAGTGGCAATGTTATAACGCTATGAGTCAGAACTCGGAAACAAAATTATATGGATGCATTTTTTGAGATAGTGGTATAACAATGAAGTGTTTGTTGTTAATTTCTCCTATGAGGAAGCAGCATTTAAAATCGCCATATTTCCTTAATTCTCAGTTAAGGAGTAAATGTTTATTAGAGATGTGAGGAGAAATATGAAATGATTGTAACTGTCAGCTAAACAGATTAGAAAGAGCTTTGTTGGCTTGGAAATATCCATTTTAAAAGTCAACAAAGTGCATTATGTTCTTTGTAAATTATTATTAATTCTATTAACTTCTTTTTCCCGAAGCTGTTCATGAATAAATTGCTCCTACAAGAATTTTTATTTGGGTCTTTTTTGTTCTTGTCATTTACCAGGATCAATACTCCTTTTGTTCCTCTTCATTCTGAATGCCTGGTGTATTACAGAATGAACATTGTTGGTTTAGTCCCTGTGGTGCAAAATCAAGTGTATTTCTCTCGGAGCAGCTTTGTAAAATGAACTCTACAGCTGTAATTTGAGAAGATGAGAAAAAACTTCTTTTAAAATAGTGTAGTATTGAAGTAGTAGTGAGCAAAGCAACAAGGAAATGTATGATTTACTTTTTGCAGTTGAAGAACAATAGATATTTTAAAAGTTATGATTTATAGTTTTGCTTTGGTTTAGGTATTACTTATTGTTATTTTTATAAAATGTCCGTTCGCATGTTTGTAGATGTAAGGCAGAATTATTTCATTTATGTTCATGTTTATGGGGGGTGTGTGCACCTGCAGAGCTGCCCAGTTTGATGTAGATATTTGGGGTAGCTGGTGGGGGGGGGCACGCGTTTTCCCCCCCCCGAATAGCTCAGCTTAAAGTAGAAATGCATTCTTTCTCATTCACAAAGACCTCGAGTAACTTGTCCTTAATACACCTGTGTTGTTTTTCTTTGTATTCAGGGAAGCAGTGTTTCTTAGTCCTGCGTCAGCAGCAGTTTAATATCCAGGCTCTTGTGGCTGTGGGACAGCATGCAAGCAAGCAGATGGTAAAGTTTGCTGCCAAGTAAGTAAGCAATTATATCCTGTTGTCAGAGTAAACAATGGTGGGAACCAGGACTCCCAGGGGTTGGGACCATTTTCACACATTAGCATCAATGCTTCGTTTGTTTTAAAATGTAGTTATTTAAATTGTCAGCTCACTATTGCCTTGAATACATTACACTGACAAAAGAGAAAATAGAGAACAGGCTTGAAATTCATTCTGAACTGCTGAAGCAGCATTCTCCCGCCATAGACAACCTACATTTACTTTCAAGCTGGCTAACAAAAAGTCTGGCGAGCTGAGCTTAGTGGGACACTTCATTTTGTGTGTGGTGTTTGTGTGTTTTGTCTGCACATGTTCAGGGTTTTCCTTCTACAAGATGTGTGCTGTAGTAATATGTTTTGTAGCTGGAACTGGTGTGAAGAAGTGCCCCGTATTGCAAGTGGCTTATTGAGTTGAAAGAATTACGAGTTGCCTCTGTGCACTGAATTAATCTTATTTACGCCTTATTTTTGGCACTAGAATGTTTAATGAGGGATTTAAGTTACTTTTAAAAATATTTTTTGAGGGGGCAATAGTTAGACTTGCCAGTTAACAAATGTTTGTTGCAGCAATTTAAATTCAGTTACTTTGTTTGTTTTAAAGATGATAAAATTACCTTCCCCTGCTCCTAGCTTTGGCTGCTTTCAGGTTGTCCAATACTAAATATGCTTGCATGAAAAAGGCATTTTTATAGTAGAACTTTTAATCACGTATGTCTGCTTGTTTACAGATAGAAATGTGGATCAATTTGGTACAATAATAAGTTTAACATGTGGTACTTGAGTTGCTTCTGTGTAGTTCTTGGCACTACTCTCATGCCTGGGAAGGGAGCCCCTACTAATGAGCTGCAAAAGTGCTACAGCCTTCAACCTTCAATATGTCAGGGAGAGGAGGGATTCATTATGGTATGGACTTCCAGAAGCCAAGTTAAGAAGGTTAGGATAATGCTTCTGCTGATGAGGTTCAAGGCAACGGGAAAACAGAACCAGCAGTGTTAGTTGTTTGGCGGTGCTTAGCGTTGGCAGTGCCAGTGCAAAGCATGCTGTTTGCAGGTGTTTATGAGCCAAAGTGGAGTGTTCTGTTTCTTCATGAAATGGTTTGTTCTCTCCAGCGCTTAGAATCTTTGAAAAAGAATTAAGTGCATAATCTACTCGTTCCCCAATTCATCTCCCTCTAACCTACCACCAGTCTGCCTGTACTCTCTCAATGAACTTGTGCTACGGAACAGTGAAACAGCTCTTGTAGTTGGAATGCTCACTTGCCTGTTCCCCAGTTCTCTCCCACATCTCTCGGTTTTCTTCGTGGTTCTTTCCTCCACAACTGAATTTCTTACACTTCATGAGTGGTAGAGCTTGGTGGTTAGGAGCTCATCAGAGGGAAGTTGGTCCTTACTCTTTGCTTCCATGTGCTGACTCTCCACTTGTAAGCCTTCTGTGACTTTTTTTTTTTTTTTTGATTCGCTAATCTTTTTTTACTGGGTTAGTTTTCTGGCGGGTTAGCGGTTTAAACTAGGTCATGGAGGTCTAGAGCTAACAAGGAGTGGTAAATGGAGGAAAAGGGTATCTGGAAAGGGTAGAGGGCAAAGCTTCTTTCTCTTCTGGCAGAAGTGAGCTGTTAAATCAGGTGGAACCTTGTTCTTTGGTTCTTTCCAACTCCCTGTCGTCTCCCCACTTTTCTTCGTGTGACGGACCTGATTTCCTCTGAGTAGCCAGACTCATGATGTTTGTACTGTGTTTTGACTTTTCATTCTGCTCCTTTTTGTGGTAGCATTTGCTAGCTAAATCCTGATACTTCAGCCCCTCTAATTTATCGCATGCATGTTTTACTCATTATTTGTGCTTCTGAAATGCTTTCATGCTTATCATCATGTACTTTGACTGATAGAACTTTCTGTGCTACACCCCCTGGGTTTTCTTTTGAGGGTTTGCTTTTGTTTTTTTAACACCGTTAGTGCAATCATCTTCTCATGATTCCTTCCCACCATCAAACCTATTTTATGAATATCCTGCCATACTCTCACTTTTTCCAGTGTTTTATCTTCTACAGTTTTGTCTGATACCACCATTGCAGCTGCCTCTTGTCCTTCAGAGGCTGCTGCTGTTCCCTGACTCTTCTGAGTGCACTTGGGGTCACCGTGTCAGAAACACCTGAAGCACAGCAACAGTCTGTGCCTTCTCTTCAGTCAATTCCCTGCTAGTTTTCACCTGCTCTGGAAAGATGCCATTATTGCTAGCGGATGAGGCTCGTCTTAGATGTCTAAAAATAACTGCACTGTTTCTCTGCCTTTCTCAGTGTCTTTTTTCATCGTATCCTCTTGTTTCCTATGCATTAATTGAGGAAATACACATTTATTGAAGAAAACATTTAACTTAAATACCGTATGGTTCAATTAAATTTTCAAACAAAACTTTTTCAGTGGTATAAACAAAAACTTTATTTTTCATGTGCAACTTTCTCATATTTTGATTCTGTGTCCAAAACTTCCTTTAAAATAGCTTGTGAAATGCTGAATTTTGAATTTTTAATAAGAACTGATTAAATAATGACCATTTTTTGTACAAATTTTCATAAATAATAAACAAACCAGTTCCTCTTTTAGATATTGGCACATGGAAACCGAAAACTTTCATAACCTTCTGTGGTCTAGCAACATTCATGTACTAATTATCTCCATTATCACAAGAACGTGAGTTCTTTTTAGTGAAAGATAGTTAGTACTGGTTTAACTCAGTTTTATGAAGAAATTTTTCTGAGTTTAACTATGAAAAGTTTCTAGTTGAACTTTAAAAATATACACAGCCAACAGCACAGAGCCAGTCGAGATAGTGGATTGGCAGCTGTGAAGTTCTTCTAATGTCTTTCCTCAGAAAAAAAAAATTCAGCTTAGTCCTACAAGGGCTGCTGTGTAAGAGAAAGAGTTAATTGTCTCTTTCAGCCAGGAGAGGTGCCAAGTGGTGCAATTAGTAATTTACCAACCTGCTTTTTTTCCATAAAGTATGGGGTGTGGTCAGTTTTGGTTTTCTTTCTTTTTTTTTTTTTTATAGAAGCACTGAGCTTCCCCCTCCCACCCCAGCCACGTGATATGATATAGCAGTTAGGAGAGGTGGTTAACAGATTGTAATTTAGCTGCCCAAACAATGTGCCCTCGCTCAGGAAGTAACTTGATGGCTCTTTATAGTAGGCTAGAGAATGAAAATCCAGAAAAAAGATTAACAAATGGAAAAAATAAAATAAATGGTGGGTATAGCTGTATGGAAGTACTTCACACAGCTATTAAGTTTGCTGGTGACACAGAAATTGGAATTGTAAACTAGGAGGTAGGAGTATATAGTAACCAGGGTTCATTTAGAATGATCACTTTGATGCTCTTCAGTGTGAATTTGTACCTTTGTGATCATTAGTTCAGATTTTGTGTATTTTCAGGATTAATATGTAGGACAGTAACAGATGAGAAATGTGAAATCATGATAGATAACTGACTTAACAGGAGTCCATGCAGTTCTCTTACCTACTATGCTAGGAAATCTCTTTGAGTTTTGAGAAGGAGGAATAAAATGCCATGAATGTAATATATGCCAGCCATTAGACCATTTCTGGAATATTTTGTCCACTTTTGTTGTCTCTGTGTCTGAATTTGTGACAAATTGGAATCAGTTGATGGTGAAGCTGCAAGATGAAATGATAGGCAGTCAGGCAAATCTGCCTTACTGTGAGAGCTAAAGAAAATTATTCTATCCAAGAGAAATTTGCAAGTAGTGTAAATCCCAGTCTGATGGTACCTATGCAAGATTTTTCTGCCAGTGGAGGGTTCTTTACTTTGCAGATACAAAGGTATGACAAGATGCAGTGAACAGATGGTGAAGCTAGGTAAATTCAGAAGGGAAATACAGTGGAATTCTTTTCAGTGCAAATGATTAAAAATGTGTAGTGGGTTTTGATACTTAAAATCTTTAAAAGAAGATAGAGTGGGGTTTTTTTTCCCCAGAAGATCTCCAGGTTCATCTAGGTGTTAGAATGTTGGTATAGGAAACATGATTATATTTTTAGAATGAAGAGAATAAGGGTAGGTGTTTACCTGGCTTTCATGTGTATGATGTCAGTTAACTCCCCTTTTGGAGGGCTTAATGGATGCTTACTGTATTTTTGCTTCGGCAGGAGGGTTGGACTAGATGACCCCCAGAGGTCCCTTCCAACCCCTACCATTCTGTGATTCTGTGCAGATAGTTTTACAGTTGCTCTTATTGAGTATAAAATGCCTATACTTTCAATTATTTACAAAGTGAGGACATTTTTTCAAAATAAACTCTACTGCCTTCAGCTTTCATTGGCATTCAGATAAAGGATTGTTGCTTATTATGTTTTATGATGATGATTTCATATTTTTAGATTTAATAATGTATTAATATATTAATTTGTGCAGTCTGCTTATAGAAGACAAAGTTGTAGAAAAAAGAAAATGTCTGAACAACTATAGATGCTTCCATTAAGTAAAACATTTTCTATTTGAAGTCTATAAATAACCAAGTTTCTTCCAATTCTTCAGACTTTTGATCAAGAAAATGTTGATTGTGATTCATTTAGGGAGGCCTGCATGGGGTTCAGCTTGCAACATGAAGCTGTTGATGAAAGATGTTGTCATACAGACTGCAATAATGCAATCCTGTGGTTGAAAGAGAAAGTCTTGGCTAATAGACATGCAGATAATTAAGAGGGACATAAAGCATCTAGTGGACATTTTAGTAATTATAGTCTTGAGTTTTTGGAAGGAACATTATATAGAAAGAAGCAGTTTGCTGTACAGAGGAATTTTTTAGCATTGGACTTTATGAATCTATTACTAAAATAGCTTCTTTAAGGATTAAACAATAGAAAGATGTCATCTGTCTTAATGCATCATGCATCCTAATGCAGTTTCTAGTCCTTTGTAATATTAATTACGGGTAGAAAGATTGTTGTCTTGAATGGAAATGGTGATAGCTTTGGCATGCTTTTCTGGTACTTGTTCACTTTTTTTGGTTTGTTTGGGGTTTTTTTGTTACCCAGGGGAATTCTATCAAAAAACCACCTAGATGACTTAGTGCCGTTGCTGCTGAGAACACTTAGCTGTAGTTACCAGCATGTAATTAAAGCATCTTGTTTCTTGTTGTAACTTGAACTGAAATTACCATTTCAGTAATGTTCTTGGAATTACGTGTTGGGATCAAAGCAGCACCTTCTAGGTTTCTGTAGTTTACATTTGATGCGCTGTGTGAGGGACTTCAGGTTTTTCCAGCACTAGATCTTGCTGAGCACAGTTCAAACAGAACTCAAAACACGAGCTTTTACTTCCATACCAAGTCAAGTATGTAGTCTGAACGAGCAAAAGCACATTTTCTAACTATCAAATGAAAGTTTTGTGTAGATGGTGTTTGTAAATACCAGGATAGTCACATGCAGTAGAAAACTTCATAGTGCTTTTGTGTGCCCAGGCAATTATTTGCATATTTGGATACAGGGATCTACATAGGTAGGAAATGAGTAGAAATACCTCTTAATGTCGTGGCAAATTTAATGACTAAGGGATGTTACAGTTTTAAAGTGTGTTCCACACCAGGAAACATACCATTTTAATTCCAAATCCAGTTTAGAGAGAGAGAAAAAGCATATTTAATCACAAGTGCAAAGTTTTAAAGCTCTGTTATGCAAGTTTGCAAAGCGATATTACAGTTACAATGATGTAAAAGTCAGTTTCTTCCTGTATTTTTAAACTCATACCATTTTGAATGTCTTAAATTCTGTGCATGTTGTGATCAAAGCTCTGTAATGACTTCACTAACACCAGTTCTCAGCCATGGGGTCAGTAGTCTGATTATGAATCCATCATACAACACATTTACATTTAACTATTATTTTCTTTTTCACAGTGCAGAGAATTTGCTTCAATTAGTTTAAAACATTATTTTTACTTGCAGTTATTAATGAGAGGGCTTTTATTCAGCAGATTAGAAACTTGTATTTTTATGAAGACACTGCTATTTGTGCCATTAGTAGTGTTTTCTGGGCATTTGCCAAAATGGTAACATGAAAAAGGAAGCGGGAAAAATAGAGAACTGTTTAGGGGGGAAAGAAGTAGCACAAGAGTTAAGTTTTATTCTTTTAAACATTCATGTATTTGAAAAGCAAAGGGAATTTTTAGTTATGCCTAACACTATTTTAGCATGATATATTCTCTCTGCGTTTATCATCACATTCTCTGGCATCCAAAGCATTGTATTGCTGCCTCAGTCTTTTTTTAAGGAGTTTGAAACAGAATTGTTTGTAAGAGATTGTACTTCAAGCACTTCCTGCCATTTCTCCTTGTCTGTCTTGAATTTATTGCCTCTGTTTAAGTAATGGAAATGAATGGAGGCTCATCCTTAACTAAATGAATTCTGATTTAAAGCATACTGTTGACCTCTGCTTTGCACAAATTTAGTCATTTGCTCATTACACTGATTTGAGCCACTGTAGCTCTTTTAAAGTGTAAAAGTACCAGAAAAACATACTATTCACAAATTTTATGCAGTATGTGGAATTACCTAATGGTTAAGCAAGCCAAGCATGTGAAGCACCATGGTCTGTATAACTTCTAGAGCAGCTGCCAGTGAGTTCTATCACCTGAAAGTATTACCATCAAAGGAATAGTGTAATCAACCAAAATGCTTTAATCGGGCTTCTTTTTAGTTACTTGTGACGTACAGTGATGCTGCTGGGTTTTGAGAATTTTGATGCTTGAATTTTCCACTGTTACTTTAATATCATCAGATCTTTCAAAACTTTGACCATTTTTATTCAAGAATTCTGTTGAATAAGTTGGATTTGAACTCAGCTTTATAGCATTAAAAAGTTTGTCTCAGGTTAGACCGAAGATCCATCTAGCTTTTCTTAGGGCTGGCGTGGGTGCTTCAGGAATAGTAGAAAGCAGGGCAAGCAAGCAGTCATAGTCGGCAACACTTGATGATTTGTATCTCAGCTGGTTCTGGGTCACACCACTTGGGCTTTATCAACTAAAAAGATAAACTTATTTGTTTAGCCGGGTAAATCCTACTTTAAAAATGTAAGAGAATGACTAATTCCAAACATAGATATTTCTAAAGAGAAACTTCTCAATCTTATTAAGTTTCTGAAGTGGTTTTACCGCAGCTGTACAAAAAGACTGTAGGGCTAGAATACCTAGATTTTATTTGCAGCTCTTACACTGACTTACTCCAGGCAGTGCTAAATAAACTGATGCAGGTGCAAGTGATTAGGACTGTAGTTAACCATCAGCAGTTGCTTGTACCTGCTTGTACTCTGTCCTTACCTCCTTTAGCTGGGGGTTACTGCCCCTCAATTACACCTCCTGTGCATATAAATATTTATCTCGCCACCCTCCAATTTAGCTGTATGGGTTTTGTGGTTGGGTTTTTGGGGGTATGGAGAGGGGTTTTACTTAAAAAAAGCCAACCTTGTAAACTTGAAGATTGTTAATTGCTCTTTGCTTTACCGAGATCAGTAGTGGTCAACTTCTGCAATACCCTCGGACAAGCATCCTTGCTCACTTATTTGCTGTGAAATTGTGGGCCTGCTACTTTCCTGCTTTCTATGGGCTTATGTAGTCAAGTGATGTACATGAAGTGCTTTCCAGTCTTCTCAAGAGGACCTGAGAAGTGAGAGATAAAGTTAATTGTAACAGTTATTTTTCATAAAAAGGAAAGAAATATTTTCTGATATTTGGCCTTTTGTAAGCAGGCTAGCAAAGATACAGAGTAAAAATAATTTCCAACGGGGGTGAGATCACCTGTAGAAAATTGCTGGTTTAAAGTCCGGTATCTTAAATACCTAAATAGAAACCGCTCGTACAAATTTTCTCACCTATGACTCTTGAGGCTTTTGTTATTGTTTGCTTACAGCACACATACTTTATATCATATTTTTGGAAGACTTTCAAGATGTTATGTGGTGTTTTAGTGTACTATTAGTGACTTTTAGTGGAGAGCAGTTAAGATGTACCCTGTCGTAGAGAAATGACTTACAAGCATCTTGTATCTTTCAGTAACAACTCATGTAGTTTAAACAAGCTTCATCAGTTTTGATTTTCCTCTCCAGACCTAGGGCTTCCTTTCAGTTTGTTGTTCTGCTGGTTAAGACACATCTTTCAGATAATTGCATCAGCTGACACATACAAGAGTGTATGTGGCCTAGAAAAAGAACTGTGCAACTTGTCAGTTTATGTATACACACACAAAGAATGAGCGAGCACTAAGCTTAATCATGAGCCTTTCCCTCCCAAGTGTGCCATCCCAGTTTGAGTTTATTGTGGCTGGGAATATTTTGTCGAAGTCCTTCATTACTCAGTTATTATATATATAATAATAATTTTACCTAAATCCTTAACTCTTTGTTGTTCCAGCAGTCCATGTAGTACATGAACATCCTAGTGCTCAGTGCAGTGTGCAATGACATTTAGTAAGCCTGCTATCCTCTGTTTATTGACAGCATCAACAAAGAGAGCATTGTGGATATAGAAGGCGTTGTGAGGAAAGCACATCAGAAAATCGGAGGTTGTACTCAGCAAGATGTTGAGCTTCATGTTCAAAGGGTAAATTTTTAAGCAAATAGAGCACTGGTTAATTGTTTTGAGAGATTATCTGTCTAGGCTGTCTGTCTATCTACATATATAAACTTTGTCAGTAAGCAGTTCCATACCAGAGAAAGAAATTGCTTTAAACTACAGATTTCAGTGTATCATACGTCAGCATGAAACATTTCTGGTTTTGAGAGATTTGATTTTTAGAATTTCCTATATTTCTCTACCATTTGAATTAATTACAGTACCAACTAAAAAAGAGTATCTCCCTAGAAGAATTTGGCTAGGAATGCTTATAATTCTAGTTTTTGATTCTTAACTGCAGCAGATACTGTAATAAAAAGTCTGCTTCTTTTTAAGTGCAAGTCAGAAGTTTCTTCTTTATCAGAAAGTTATAATCATCACCTTAGTACAATGGAATGGAATACGTAACTCTCAGCAAAAGTAAAGCACTGGCTTAACAGTATAGAAGCTCTTGAAATCTAGAATTCCTGTAGCTTGTGCTGTAGGGCAGGAGGAGGTACAACTTTATAATTTGTTTAAATAGAAAGTGTATTTAAATCTTTATGTAATATCGTTTCCTTCTAAAGGTTTTCAACCAAACTGTATGCCTGCAATACAGCTGAAACACAGTCACCTCAAGAGTAGAGTATAGTGGCTGTTACAGTTACAGCAGTAAGATGAATTTTATCTAATGACGTTGGGGAAAATCTGCAGATTTTGAAGAAACATGTTTTAATATATGTGCAGATTATAATATGCTTAATTTTTCTGAAAGAATATAAAATTCACTGCACCCATGACTAGACTGTAGGGCAAGGTAAGGTGTTTTTCATTCTCTGATTCTTTAGTTATCTCATAAATTTTCAGTCTGAAATGTCTTTCAGATATAGTCAGATGAGAAGTAAAATAATACCTTAACAATGAGAAGAACAGGATGATCTTGCTGGGATCAGAATTTGAAACTTTTGTGAAATCTAGTAGTTTCAGACCTGGCATTCATGCCAGTAGGCTTGTCCCTCAGGCAGTATGTACTTGCTCAACTCAATGCTTCCCAGAAGAAAAAAAGATATTTTTAATCTTTCGAAAGGAAAATAAGAACTAAGCACTTCCAGTATTGTCATGAGAATGCACCCATGTATCTCAAGTATTAGAATAAAATCACAGTCTTACAGCTAACATCCTATGCAAACACTGTTTCAAGTCTATGCCAAAAATATCCTTTTGTAAATCACACCTCCTTTTGAGCTGAGTGTCGTGCTATTTCTGTTCCTGTCTCAATTTCAGATCTATGTGATCAGTTTAGCTGAACCCCGACTGCCCTTACAGCTGGATGATGCTGTTCGGCCAGAAGTGGAAGGAGAGGAGGTGAAAATTTTGCATGCTCAAATACTTTTTATTGTCTTTGTAAATGAACAAAAGCATGAAAGTCAGGCAACTTCCTTAATGCAGTGATTTAGGGGGTTTCTTAGGCATGCATTTTACTTCCTTTATGTTATCCAGAACGGTGTTAGAAATCTCCATAGCTTTGATGTCTGCTGAACTGCAGTAGAAGGTCAAAACCAGAGGGTTTGCAGTCGTGTGTGTGTATCTTCTGGATCTCCATAGTTGGGTTCTGCCTGTGACCTCTGGGAGAGGTTACACCTCAAGCTTTGCTCTGCTGCCCCTTGGCTGTATGTTCTTTCTAGAACAATCTAGAAATTTTACGGAACTTAGAAGTAGCTTTTAGCCAAAGGATGTTTTTCTCCATTGATTTTGTTTTGTTTGGTTTTTTTGAGGGGGGAAGGTGTATGTATTCATTATGTATTTTTTCACAACTGCTTAGGATGGAAGAGCTACTGTAAACCAAGATACAAGATTGGACAACAGAGTCATTGATCTGAGGGTAAGGAGCGTGTTGTGTTGCATGCTTGCCTGCAAGTGTTTATTCTTCACATTTCTAATCCAAGAAGCAATAAAAGTTGTGGATTTGATGGAAGTGTATTGTTGGCCAAAGGAAAAATAACCAACAGATTTTTCTGTTTGTGAGTGGCATTGTGAAAACACAGGGGGTTTTAATCCTAAATGTTCACCTTTCCTGACATTAATCAAAGAACACATATTAGTAGTTTAAAGGTGATCATTTAGGATTTGGCATGTCACCATGTACATCTGGGCTTTTGTATTTACAAAAGTCAAAGGTGACTGAATAGGGACAATTTAGAGACAGTGTTTCTTCTCAAACATAGTCTTTGATACCCAAAAGACTGTTGTAAGATCTCGGTTTTGAAGTATGGGATAGAAGTTTTGAGTTTAATGTGTAACTGAGGTACTGTAATACATGTCTCGCAAGTGAAATTGTACCAGGCCATGATACCAATCTCATTCTCTTTGTTTCTTCCATGACATTCATCATATCTCTTTCTTTTTTTTTTTTTTTTTTTTTCCTGAAACATCTTTCTTCATCCAGGTCACAGAGACACAGCCTGCTGAATTCATATACCTCCCAGATATTTACTCTTTCTGATCAGCAGCAAAAAATTCTACTAAATCACTTACAGAACTTTTCTTCTTTTTTAATGAAATGGCAACTAACAGTAAGCGTGTAAATAACTAACTTTTCATATTGACATGAGGTTTTCTGGTCTTTTCCCATATTTGGCTCTCCACAACATTTTAATTAACTTTTCACTGAAACAAGACTGTGCTTAGCTCATTTTTATGGTGTATCTAGTGCTGCCTTCAAAGTTCTGATAGTGGCAGTTTCTCAGAAAATCAGTCTATGGACCTGGGAAATAAAACAGAAAAGTCAGTTATTTATTAGAAAATTTGGGAAAATTCTGGCACTGAGATGCTTAAAGGATTCGAACAACTTGTGCAAATTGTTTTACTTGGACCAAATGTAATTGCTTTTCACTTGACCTTATGTATAATACTGAGCAACTTCAATTTGTGATTACTTTTCAGGATATTCAGTATCTCATCATGTTGGTCTCTTCATCTGTGTCTTAAATTAAGCCCTTGATGAAAAGAATTCTATGCTAATGGCTGAAAGTGAAAATAATTTAAAAGATAATCGGCTTATAGTAGTGGTAAGACAGTGTACTAAACTGAAGGGAGAACTCTGGTATGCTCAAAGTGCGAGTTTTACTTGGAACTTCTGATGATGAAGAAAAATACTCAACAGCACTACAGAGAAACTTAAGAAAATCCATTAAATTAATGAAATACCTGTATAATAAACTGTGAAGAGCCATGAACCCCCAAGAGAACAGAGAAATAATACAAAGGGAAATAACAGTTAAAAACACTAGCTGAAAATAATGGCATGAAAGTATAGTGGCTGTAATTCAGATGAGGGCATCTGCAGAGTAAAACCTAAGAAGGTGTTTAGTAATGGAAAAAGAATGAAGACTAATGCCAGAATAAACACAAGAAATAGAACAGAACGGGTTGGGCTAAAATTCTGCCATCCCTGTACATATTCAGTAGTCCAGCAGGAGTCTCCCAATACTTCTTATATGTCTTTGCCAGTATAGGAATAGAACATTAGTTGTCAGTATTCTGCCTGGAGGCGAAGTGGGTGCTGCTGTAGCCTTTTCCAACAGCTGTGTCCCAACCATTGTTGGTATACCATTTATTCAGCAATGTTTGGCACCTTGTTTTGTGGTCTGAACCTTAGCTCTGCCTTCTACAGAAGCTGTTTTTCTCCTTAGCTCCAACAGCTGCCGTAATGTGGTGCTAAACAGCTATTTCATGCTGAACAGAAATTCGGGTTAACTTTTTATGAAATTGATGGAAGGATGAAATGTCAAGTCTCAGTACTTCAGAGCCTTATGTCTCATCCTCTCCATGCTCCTGTGGCTCGATGTAATCTGGCCACAGCTTTCCCTTGATACGACTTAGGCATCTGTCTTGCCTTCCTCCTATGCGTGGGAAAAGTTTCTGTCTCTGACTGTGTCATATTTCTGTGTGTCTTTTCTGTTGCACATTTCATTATTTGTTTCGGAAGAAAAGTTGGTTATTTTGGAACAGCAGGCTCATGCCTATTTCTAAGTTTGCTTTGTTTATTCTGCAGGAGCTTTGCTTGTGCAAAAGAGGATTCTAAATAATTATGTGTTACTTTGACCTGTTTTTTTAAAGGGAGAGCTGAATAAGCAGAAAAGGTATTTAATAGGGGAAATCCCAGTAAGAATACATATGCTTACATATGGACAAGGTCCTGTGCAACCTGCTGTAGGCGACCCTGCTTCGTCAGGGAGGTTTGACTAGATGACCCACAGAGGTCCCTTCCAATCCCTACCATTCTGTGATTCTGGGATATGTGTACATCCTAAGTACTGTATGCAGTGTAATCACAAGAGCAAGGACACGAAGGCAGTTTGTCCTTCAGAATAACTGGAAGAAACCACCCAAAAAATAGTAATTGATTTTCAGTGATTTGGCTGTATAGACTGGAGCTGTAGTACAAATGGGATTTCAGAGAGCCCCTGGTGTTTCAAGTGCACTGCATAAGCAGGCATGTTCTAAGGAGGATTAGAAGACATGATGTGTTAAAATCTCAGAGAGATACCTGAAACCAGTGTTAGCCACTCCCCTCTGTGCCTCTTCCTTCTAGGAAAACCAAATCATGGGCAGCAGGGAAGAAATGTTAACATAGTAGTTCTAACAGAGATGGTGTGATGATTTGTTCCTGCAAGTGTGGGAGGAAGTCCAACCACAGATACATGCACCATCTAGTTCTGGTTTCCTCAGTGCCCCAGTTTTTTAAGGAAGAAGGAGGTCATCAAACATCAAAAACAGAGATACTATTTTTTGGAGACAGATCTAACAAACTACATGTATAGATCTTAGCTAGACTCAGACTGAAAAAAAAGTCCTTGGTATGAAACTAAAATTATTTTTACCCATTTAAATATAGTCTTCAAAGTAGTTAAGTAGTTTATCTTATTTTAAGTAGTGATTAACCAATGAGTTCATTGGATAGGACCAAATTATGATAAAGTGAAGCTGTGAAACTCAGTTACTGCATGAATGAAAGGGACTGGATTTCCAAAAATAGCATCACTCCATACAGCTACAATGTATATCAAGGAGAGTTTGATTATGATGCAGTAGGAGGAGTGCAATTAATAATAAGGAAGTTACATTAGTGGAGATGTAATATGCAAAGTATTCTACAAAGATTGCAAGACTTCCATTCTTGTGTACATGTGAAAATGGACTGAGTAATGCACTGTATTTTTAACAGTCTTGCATTTTGGTTGCTGACAAAGATCTCCCAGAGGTGTCTGGTAGGTTTTTTGAAGGTTAGGGATGGGAAGTACTTAAATGCCAAGATCCCAAGCTATTGCTGTAATTGTTATTCTGATATGTGGAGGGAAGATGGTGATTATTTAGGGTGGAGGCGTTTTAAAAATCCTTTCCAAGGAATGATGGCTGAGAAAGAATGAATCTGTTCCTGGTGGGTTAACTCATAAAATACAGATCACGTATTTATGGAGTAAAAAAATTGGGAGTGTAGAGACAACAGCTGGTAAGGAGAAAGAAGAGTGCTTGTATAGACCAGATTTTCTTTCTCATAACCACAGGTGTCCGTAAGGAAACCACTGTTGACCTAAGTATCTATTTTTCATGATAGCTTAATGAAGGTCAGAACAGTTGATTCTAGAGATGTTTGATTTACCATTCCTTTATTGGAACAATTAAAAAAGGCAAATTGGAGCACTGATTGTGTTTTTAGATCTTTACTTTTCTGCTGTTCTTAAGTTTTAACTGAAGTATTCAGTGATGTGTAGACTTCCCATGTCTGTAAAAACACCTACAGAAATGACATTTCATTAAGATCTGTGGTAGATGAAAAATAATGAAGACAACAAATGAAACACTGATTTTTGGGTTTTGCTTCTTAGTTTGTCTTCCTCTGAAGAAAAAAATCAATTCAGGTTTATCCAGTTTAATAATGGACCTGACTGATGTCCTTGCTCCAGCTTTTTTTTGATGTCCAGCAGGGTTTTTATCTTAATAGTATCTGTCCAAATTTTGACTAGAATCATACGCATTTTGCAGTCCTGATGCTGGAATTGTGTCTGCTAATGCACAGCTCATCGAGACCAAAGTATAGTCTCTTTAGGGTCAATATTATCCTGTTTAAACTGCTAAGGGTAGATCATAAATATTGAACTGTATCTTTAGTAGTTTATGGATGTCAGACTATGTTATATGATAATCCAGCTGTACACTGGTCTTAATGCATTGTTTTTCAAAATACTTGATTGCTTCAAGCTTGATTTCATTGTGTTGAATTCAATTTACTCATTGCAAAAGCTGTGTTTTTCCTGACTGAATTCAAGCTGTAATGAATAAGCAGATGTACAGTTTATTTTATTGTGAGTAGTGATTTGGTAGTGAAGATGTAACACAGTCCTAGTCATTTAGACAACAAACTTCATGTTCATTTCTTCTTATACTATAAGTAGTAATTTCGATAAAAGTTAACTTCAGTCACTTTGGGGTTAAAAAATCGTTATTTAACATAAATCCTGTTTCCTAGCAAGACCTTCATTTCTCATATATATAGTAGAGGAATTGCAAAATTATTTACATTATTTAAAATAATGTATACTACTTAAAAGGATATAGACTACATTAGTTTCCCTTTTTATTTAGCCTGCTTTATATATTTAGTGATTGTTCATGGTGGAAGATAGGTAGTTACAGCAGGCAAACAGAAAAGCAAAACTGAGGTGAGAGCAGCACAAATTCTACAGCTGACATGAGAGTAAAAAGAAAAGTTCACAACTTTGCATGTCTGTATCTCAGTCACCTCTTTGAGGTGTGATCACGAGGTGTTAACTGCCCTCAATTCTATTGAAACACATTTGTTGGTCTGTGGTGACTTACATGGCTATTAGTCTAACACTGCAGCTTGTGCTGAATGAAATGTGATAATTGTTTTTATAATCTTGCTTATAGTGTTAAAATGTGCTCTGTTCTGTTATTACTAATATTTTCCTTTGTGGCATTTAAATAATAAACAGACAGGTGAAATTAGAGTGAGGTTATGACCAAAACTCGTATTTCAGCATTGTTAGCTAAACATTTTTTCTGCTGTCTGTAACAAAGATGATTATTAAAAGTAATGACTTTTGCTGTAAAATCAACTCTGCAGACTGAGTTCAAACATTAACACCGTTAAGTGCAACAGCATTGAAGTGGTGTCAAGTTTGTTTCTGAAAGAGTGGTCAGGCATTGGAACAGGCTGCCCGGGGAAGTGGTGGAGTCACCATCCCTGAAGGTGTTCTAAAAACATGTAGATATGGCACTTCAGGACATGGTTTAGCAGGCATGGTGGTGTTGGGTTGATGATTGGACTTGATGATCTTAGAGGGCTTTTCCAACCTTTATGATTCTATGATTCTTTTTCTGCTTAACCCTGGAAGGAATGTTTACTGCTTTTATCATAGTCTTAGAGAAGATAGTTTGTCAATATGTATGTGAAAGAGTTTGTATTAGAGTAAACACTACAGGAGAAGAATGCCGTGGTAAAATCTTTTTTTAAAGCAAAGGTCAAAATCAACTCATTTTGACAGCTGTCTGTCTTTAGTGTGCTGTGTTGTACCCAAGTGTGGTAGCTCAAATGGTAACTGTGTTACCTACCGTTGTGCCAAACATGGTAATATACAGACCAGCATCTCAGTTAAAGACAGGCTAACAGCTTAAATTATTTTCTTCAGATAAATTCCCTCTCTTTTTGTCCTAAACATTATACCAGTGCAAAGGATGTAATTAAATCTGAAAAATTTTGATCCACGTGTAGATACAGAATCATCTTTAAAAATCTTTGGAAAGCGTAGTGGTACATAAAACTTTGAGGTCATCCATTTAACTCCATTGCACGTTGACAGCTGCAGTTCTTCAGGAGCTTATCTCAAATGTCTCGTTGGGCTGTTTAATTCTTACAAGGAGACTGCAGCATCACAAATTCTTGACAGTTGTCCTTCTTGGCAGTCTCTGAATGAATGGGTGCTGAAACTCAGCTACATTTGGTAGAAGAAAGAGTGGTCTTGTCAGATCTAATTTGAGGCACGGAGAATTGCCGTTCTTTCCTTGGTCTGTAGTTAAATAAAAGCTTCAGTGTCCAGATGGGTGAATTTGGCTGCTTTCATAAATACTGTATTTTAAGCGTAATTTATCATCATAGATGACATTAGGAAGACAAGAGTCTTTGCTCTGCATCCTTACTAACGCCAGGAGGAGTTACTACCTGACAAACTATTGTTAGTGGAGAACTGTGTTACTTATTGACTGTCTGTGTTTCTGTGCACACTTTTAGGTCAGATTGGGTTTAGCAACCATTTTTCTTTTTGCTAGGACTGTATGATTTAGGACTGCACTCTTACCTGCTCTGGCATGAAACTGATGTTGGTTCATCAGAAGGGTAGAGGAGGCATTGTTACTATCCACTTTAAATAAATGTTACACATTTTGTCTCTTAACATTTTTAGAAATTTGTCTAGTTTATCAAAAACTGTATTGGAGAATCCAAATGTGACTGTTAAAGTTGTCATCTCTTGGAGAATCTCTTTCACCTTCCAAGTAGGAGATGGTTAAGGGGGGGTGGGGACTAAAATAAAATATCCTTTTGAATCATCCGAGTGCTTTGTAACACTGCCAAATTATGCCCAGAACTCAGGCAAAGTCTTAGCATATGTGTGATTCTGGGAGACACATGTAAAAAAAGGTGAAAAAGTTCGAGGGTACTTTTGTAACTGTTGCTCAAAACCTCATTTCCTTCATTTTGAAAGTGGTGGGAGTAGCGGCTGTGGTTAATGCTATCAGACAGTGAGAGCTGCTAGCTATTATTTACTAGTCTCAACCACTTACACTCCTGAGGTATTTTATCGGTCAGCTAAAATTGCAAATAACTCCAAATTACTACAGTTCTGCAATATTATTACACTTTTCCCTTTTGGCTTTTCAATAAAGTGATATCTTTATCTTACAGAGATGATGGATGTAGCTTTATTTCAACGTGTCTGCTGGCTCACTGTCTAAATTTGGGTGCTTATATAATTTGTTTTGGTTGGGGGTTTTTTGTTTTGTGGTTTGGTAGGAGTCATGTGAAGAAGCCCACAAGGCTCTTACCCTAACTGAAAAGTTGGGTACCTTTCAGAAAGGAGAAGTAAACAGTGCTATGACGCAGATTGTCGTAAAGAACTGTTCTCTGAGCTGTTTGCAAGAGTTCGTTAGGTTTTATATACGCTTCTAGGTTGCTAACTGTCAGGTCTTAAACGCTGCAAGCACAAAATCAGATATGGGTTCAGTGTTGACGTGTTGCAGTGTTTTCAGCATTCACTAGGGGTTTTTTTTTTCTTCACGCTTAAGCCCAAGAGTGTTACAGGAACATGCAGTGTAGGTTTTTGTTAACCAGATAAGTAGCTGAACTGTGTCACATACATAAACAAAAAGAAGATGATCACTTCAGCTGAATCTACTTTTGTTTTCAGCTAAATGCACTTTTGGGAGTAAATTGTGAAAAGACAGAACGGCAGTTCGTGTGATCGGGTGTTATGTGGTCTGTTTTAAATGCAGGGAGTTTAGACCTTGGTTTTGGGATGTTTTTGTGGTAGTGTTGTACATGGTTACCATGTGGCTGTGTTTTTACGTGAAGAACGTTGTATTTCATAGCCTTTAATAGACACAAACATTTCTAGCTTAATTGAGGGCTTTGATTTTATCATGCACTGTATATTACTGCAGCTGTTCTAGTTCAGTGTGCTGAAAGCTTTTTAATAGGTTTAGTGGTTTTATTCAATTTCTTACTATAAAACCTGTATTTGCAGAAGCATATCTCATAAGCCAGTGAGTCTTTAAATGTAGAATTGACCATAGTGCCTCCTTTATAATTGAATATGCCATAAATTGAAATAAGGAGTTTCTCTTGTTTCCTTTGCTGTTTCTTTTTGTGTAATAAACGGTTACTTATTTGCACTTTTCTCTGTTTAGGCAAATAAAATAATCAAGTGTTCCTAAGAGAAGAGATTCATCCTTCCAGCTGTCCAGAAAAAGTAACAGAGTCAGGAAAAACTAACTTAGGATTCATTATTTTATCTTCTTCTTATAGACCTCCACTAGTCAGGCAGTCTTTTGCCTTCAGTCTGGTATTTGTCAGCTTTTCCGAGAAACTCTTATTCGCAAGGGATTTGTGGAAATTCAGACTCCCAAAATCATTTCAGGTATTGTATATGTGATCCAGCAGCTACAGGTCTGCTTCTTTTACAGTTGCTCAATGTACCTATCTGCCAAAAAATTTAGTAAGTTTTTATTTTAAAAATACAAACTTCTAATTTAGATGCAACGTAGCAAACTTCTTCTAGCAGATATCAAAGTTGTTCTTTAGTTTTCTCCTGACTTCGGATATTAAAAGAATGACAAGACAAATATTATATATACCTGATTTATGTACTCTGCAGTGCATTTTAATTCGGTTAAATAGAGATGTCTAATGATATGCATTGTACTTCAAATCAGTGTTCTCAGGGTTGAGCACTGCCAGTTCCATTCCCAGTATCAAAAAAACCACCCACTCTAATTTAGATTAAAAGCAGCTTCCGTCATAAAGAAGTTACAACATATCATGGTATAAAAGATAATGCCATTATATACAATATGTCTTTTCTTCAGCAATAAGCATATGGCTGAATAGAAGGCGGTAGATCATTTTTCTGAAAGTGTGGCATGACAGCTTCAGCCCAACTAAAAGTCTGGAAATGTAGATTTTGCTTCTAGTTCTGTTGCTGATCTGCTGTATTGTTTTCAAAAGTCAAATGACTTGATTTACTGATGGATGTCTGTCTTCCATCTGATTAGTGTTCTTTGAGGTTTTGTTGATGTCACCAAGATATATGGCATGGAAAATGTAGGGCAGAATATTTGTAATAATATTTGTATTGTATGTGAATTCATTGTGTGCATACATTTTGCCTACTGAACTTTATATTTCTGTATTTATATTTTTGAAGACAGCTCTTGAGATTAAAAAAAGGGCTTTTTAACAAAATACATGTAAGCAACTATTCTTTCAACATGGAAAGTGTCGTTGAACTGTAAGATTAGATAACTTTTTTCCTACGGAGACAGTTGAAGCAGCATGAAGTACTAAAGACTCCCAAGTAGTTTATTTAGGACCTCTCAGGAAGTGTGCTATTCTTACTGTGCAGTGTACCATTGAAAGCAAGCAAGCAAGCATCCTATTGTTTAAATGAGATCATCTTTTGTAAAAATAACTAGGTTAAGTCAATGCAATCCTTACTAAACTTCAAATTTAAATATCATAGCTGTTCTAAGATTTGAGATTTTAGAAGTTACCTGTATTCAAAAATACCTGTAAATATTCACTGAAACCGTTTCAGTGGGAGTAGAGGTAATAAAAGAGAGAAACATTAATCTCAGTGGAATGGTTAATGATAATAATCAGTACTTCACCTAGAGTTATCTTGACATTAGAACTTTTCAAAGATTATTAACTAATCTTTCACTCTAGCATGCTTTTGTTAGCAAGTTAGGCAACTATAACTCTCGTATCACACACTGGGAAATGGAAAGGTTGAGTGACTCGGCTGATCATTCTGGTAGGCAGTTTGCAGTGAGGGTTTCAAATGCGTGTGTTCTTGGTTCCTGCTCTCTCTGTGTAACCTTCTATGAAAACTGCCTCAAACTGAGAAAAAGCTTTATACCTTTGGCAGATGGCCTCTGGTAAATCCAATTTTGGCTCTGAGAGATATTTATGCCCTCAGTTAGAGAGGATTGTCCTGGCAAAACAGGATATGCACTTTCATCTCGGCCTCTGTAGTTAACCTCTGGAAGCCTACGTCACTGATAAAGATTGGTTTCCACAGGAATGTTGGGTTGCAAGTAGATGTGGTGGTACAAACATGCGTTCTCTGCTGTTCACTCCCTTAAGGTGAAGGACAGCTGGGAATAGTAACATTGTGAACTACCTCAACTAAATTTGCAGATTTGCAAGACAATGTGTGACAGTCCTGAGCTGCAAAACTTCCCTTAGCATTAATGGATGCAAATATATCTTTTTCCTCTAATATGCTCTGAAGAAAAAATCTTCTGATCTGTAAATGTAAGACCATTAGCCTATCATTCTAGCTCTGATTTATTTTTTTTACATTTTTATTTTAATAATTACTGCAAGCATTTGCTTTTCAGCTGCCAGTGAAGGAGGAGCCAATGTGTTTACTGTATCATACTTCAAAAGCAGTGCCTACCTGGCTCAGTCCCCACAGCTGTACAAGCAGATGTGTATATGTGCTGACTTCGAAAAGGTTTTTTGCGTTGGGCCAGGTGAGAAAAGTGTTGGTTTATCCAAAGTGTGAAGTGTGCAGTGATGGCTTTTAGCTGCTGTGGTACAAGTAAGATAACACGCACACTGCAAGTTTTGAATGGTTTCACTTAGTATAGTTTCACTTATCAAACACAAATTTCAGTTGGGGTGACTAAAGAGGGTAAAGTTGACAGAGAAGTTGCTGGAACAAAACTAAAATGCTGAAATTAAGGGTGGAGTACTCTTTTCCAGTGCCTGCTGTTCTGTGAGGAGAAAGAATAGATTTGCACTGGAAATTGATGAGATTATGAAGTTAGTAAAACGTGGAACAACATTGTGATTACTGAAGTCATAGTTTCCTATTACCCGTGCCCGGTCATTGCCTGGTTGTCTTCAGTTGCCCAGTAGTAAGCAGTTAAAGTAGGCAAGCTACGTTTTATGTACTTCAGATTGCATATTGACATATGCTTATCTCTTGCTTTTGTGTATGTACCAAACAACTTTATTTAGAAAATGCATACTTTCAACTGGGCTGTCAGTAAATAATCAAAAATTAATAATTTCCAGTCTCAGGTTTAAAGATACATAAGCTGGAAATGCCAGCAAACAAGTCAGTAACAGCTTATAAAATACAAAAAAGATGCAAGTAATTCAGAAGATGTTAAATTTCTTGTTAATTACTAACAAATGAGTCATGGTTTATAGGAAGACATGTTTATATTAGACTTATATATCTGAAAAAAAAAAACGCAGAACACACACACGTGCACAAGTCCATTTCCTCTGAAAAAGGCAGTTTTCAAATCTGAAAGTTCTTGTGTGCCAGAAAGCTTGTCTGTTTTTTCCACTTCTGTCTGTTGGTCTGACGAGATATTGCCTCTCTATAAGTCTTGTATCCTTTGAGCACCACAGCTACAATAACGCTGTCACTGTTATAAATGATGCTTTGAGGCAGCTAGTTTTTGTTTTATTTTTCAGTGAGAATTGTCATGTCTAAAGACAGGATTGTCTGCCTGATCCAAGTGCTGATGTGATTGATTGTCAGTGTTATTTTTCAAAATGGAATGATAATTTCAGGTCAGTTAGAATTTCTGTTGTTTAATTTTACAGTATTTAGAGCTGAGGACTCCAATACACACAGACACCTGACTGAGTTTGTTGGTCTGGATATTGAAATGGCTTTTAACTATCACTATCATGAAGTGGTAGATGAGATTGCAGATACCTTGGTGCAGATATTCAAGGGACTTCAGGAAAGGTAATGGGAGCATTTTCTGTTTCATGAGCAACTTTGAGATCTCTTGCACTGTGGTGTGGAATGGGTAAGCGTTTTATCCTCAGCTTGTCAGATAATCATTAGTAGTCTGATTTACAGCAGAACTTCAAAACAAGCATTTTTGCTTTGCTCTTTAACTATTTCTTTGTGCCTGACTTTTAAAGTTCACTCAAGCCATAGGCCAGTGAACTGTCTAGCCCTAATTGCATCTGCTGGAGTATGCTAGTTTGCACTAAGAAAACTTGTTTACTGTTGGATGGACTTCCTAACAGAAATGATCCATCATTAGTATAAAACGTCCTTCTTTTTGTGCCACTACAGGTAGACTGATTGTTCTACTTTTAAATTAATCTTGATGTTTACCATCTAATAAAGTTTTTCTGATTCAGATTTATTATAACAACCTGCATCTCTGACATGAAAGCAGCAAAGATTATTTTCCATTATTCACAGTCTTAACTCATTAAAAAGCCAGGCCAGAAGTTTAGGAAGTGGTTTTCATTTATTTACAAATTAGACTATCTTGCCAGCAGATATGCAAATCTTTTCATCTGTCCAGAGGGAAATTTCTATTTTATATTTGAAATAGGATATTACTCAAATCAAAGAACAACCCAGGTAAATGTTACAAATCAAAGAGATGATTTCTCAGTGTCTTTACTGTGAAAATTTAGCATGTATATCATTAGATGCATTAACTTGCACGAAACATTTCATTAGGATAGTACAGAGTTTCTCCAGAAGTGACTTCAAAACACTTTTTTATGTTGCAAGAGGGACCTCTTGTGGCAAAATTGTATTGCCGTTGCAAAATCATAGCTGCAAGCAGAGTGCATTTCCCGATTGTTTCTTATTTTGCTTTGTTCTTGTTTCCTCGCATGTAGATTCCAAACTGAAATTCAGACAGTGAACAAACAGTTCCCATGTGAGCCATTTAAGTTTTTGGAGCCAACTCTGAGGCTGGAATACCGTGAAGCTGTGGCCATGCTTAAAGAAGCTGGTGTTGAGATGGGTGATGAAGAAGATCTGAGGTACTTTGGCAGTACAGAAATGTGTCAGAGTCTTGTGAAAGTGGTAGTAAAGTGTCAGTTTTGTACTCTGCAACTGACGGCCTTTAAGAAGGAACTGCAAGCTTTTAGAGGTATAAACTGAACTCATATCCAGATCTTCTGACAAATAAATGAATGGATATGAAAATAGTCCTTTCTTTTAACGTAGACTATATGTACAAACTGTGTAATCCAATAGAAAATAACTTACAACATAAAGTGAGAGTAACATGACCCTTCTAAGGATAAGAAGCATTTGTTTTTCTAACAGTTGTCTTCCTTCATGTGAATTGGTACATGTCTTGGAATAGGATTAAACAAAAAGATTTTTCAGTCTTAAGGTCTTTCTTTTTAGTAACACCTTCCCATTTTGTCTTTCCACCTCTCAGGAAAATGATTAAGCAGTCATGATTGCATTCCCGTTGATTTACTGAAACACGGGTTTAATTAACTGATTAGATATAAACTTTCCTAAAGACGCTTAATAAATTAAAACATTTCTGTTCTTTCCCATAATATATCCAGTACCATTAGGATAATGTGTGTTTTTACACTTAAATGATCTGTATGTCAAAGAAGTTTCAATCGTAAGAGTTTGATAGAGCAAAATAATTCCTCAGCAACTGCTTATGGTGTTTCTCACTGTGCCTAAGAAGAAATGGCTGCACAAAGTATGTGCCAAGAGGAAATAGAGCACATAATTCTTTAGTAATCAGAATATGGTGACTAAGAAGTAGTTATATTAAGAGCAAGAATATCTTTAGGTATCAGTTAATTTAAGGGATATCTAGGACCAATACGAAATATTTAGGAACAGAAATAAATATACTTTATTTCTGATATTTCTGTCTGCACAGTCCAAAACATTCAGCAACAAGTACTAGATTTTCTAAAGGACAGGGTGAAGCAGATCTGTAGCTTGAAATCTTTTTAGGTTTATGAAGTATATGATCAGTACAAATTTAAATCACTTAATTTTAATGGTGATAATCTTTTTCAGCACACCTAATGAAAAGCTCCTGGGACGCCTGGTAAAGGAAAAGGTAACAATTGTTTTAGAAAAATAAATTTGTCATTGAATCTGAGGCCTGATGCCATGGAGTCACTGGGTTGGTATAAATGCCTACTTCATGTAAAAAGACTTTTTACACATCGATTGAGAATAGGGTATCTCAGAACATGCAGAAGTTGCGAAGAGTTTGTGATTAGCATAAGCATTTTTTAATTGTCTGACTGCATTCCCATTTTGCTAGTGCTCATTGAATCTACGGACAGTTTTGTCTTTATCTTTAATGAGCTGTTTCAAACCATTTTCAATCTTGTGTATTTCTATCATGTGTTTATACTGAGTACACCAAACAGGATAGTATGTACCAAAACCAGTTCTTAGGATAATTAAAAAAACCAAAACAAACCAAATCAGATTCTAACTAAACCTATAGGAGAAGATGAGGGTTTTGGAAAAAAAAAAAAAAAAGTAGGTGTTACTACAGAAAGACATTTTACTGCTAAACATTTCTAAGTTTGCTCTAGAAGTAGTATTGGAAAGCTGAAAAATAATATACCACTTTCACTGATATCTTATTTTTTAAGATAATGCTGTCAAATTTGTGGAAGGTTACTAGGAGTTATTTTTTTATTTCAGAAATTGACTGGTTGTGTCTTCCTCTTGTAATTTGTTCTTTACATCATTTTCTCTTGTACTAACTGTTTTAAATTACCTTCTTTTAGTATGACACGGACTTCTATATTCTTGACAAATATCCTCTTGCTGTAAGGCCTTTTTATACAATGCCAGACCCAGTAAACCCTGTAAGTATTGTTGTTGTCAATGGGTTTTTTTCGTAGTTTAAATTATTCTGTGTAGGAATAACTTCACAAAATAAAGTATGTTTATATGATCTGCTGTTATAATCAAAATTCTGCTAACGAGATTAGGTCAATGTTGCATGACTTGTAAAATGTTTACAGTTACTCTTTACTGGTGAAAACACAGCAGAAGGAAAGAAATGTAGCCAAAATTATGAGAGAGCTCCATGGTCAGAGCACTGCTGCCATAACTGAAAAGAGGCAAAAACATGCTTCCAGGACAACAGACACTTTAACAGAAAATAGGCATTTTTATATTGTTAGAATTCCCCAGTTTATTCCTAAAGCCAGGGTAATTACATGCAAGCATAACCGTTTTCCAGAGAACGTGTGGATGAACTTCAGGTTTTGAATTCCCTCCAGCCTCATGGGAGGAGCCAAAGGGCTATAATTCCCGGGCAGATTCTAAATACACTGCACTCTTACTGCGCAACTTTGGGTGTCATAAGTGAAGTTATTGAGAGGTGCATATTTGCCATCGAAGGATGGAGCAGCTGTAGGTAGGAAATAAAGTCATCTTTGTTTTTCCAGAAAAACTCGAACTCTTACGATATGTTCATGAGAGGGGAAGAGATCTTGTCTGGAGCTCAGAGAATTCACGATCCTCAGCTGTTGACAGAAAGAGCCCAGCATCACGGCATTGGTAAGAAGTCAAACAACATGAAGCTGAATTTAAAGGAATATAAATAAATCATAATTGGATTTGTTTCCTTTAGAGGAAGAATTTAGGGCAGAGCTTGTTACATGGCAGTAGTGCTAAAATCACAGTACTGTTTCATTTCTAAAGTTAATCCATCTAATTCTGTTTAACCATTTTAATCTAGAGTGATGATGTTAAGAAACTAGTTAGTTTCCCAGCAACACCTCAGTGAAAATGAATTGTTTATGAGGACTTCAGAGAGAATGTAATGCACGAAATACCCTCAACAGAATGAGGGTAGACAAACAAGTCTCATTCAGTCGTGCCTCTCTGTACCCCCACATACTTTTGATGGAGTGCTCTGGCAGAGTCTTCGTTGGCTGTCCTTTTTAAATCTTGAACTGAGAGCAAATAAGGAAGAAGTGCCCATTGGTGGAAATATAATAAGAATAATAAAAAAAAAGACTCAGCAGGGACAAGACCAGTTGATAGTAGAAGGGTAAAAGAGTAAATTAGGTGGAGATCAGGAGAGTAAAATGTAGATTAAAACTGTGCTTTCAGTGAATGGCAAAGTGGTGGCAAAGTGGAGCGGCAGGTAGCAGTAGCCAAAAAGGAGTAGCTCCCACTGTAGCAAGATGGAAAAATAGTTACTAAATCTTTGCTTTCTCACTGCAGTTTATTCAAGAAGTCATTTCCCACAAGTTACATAGAACAGTTGGGCCTTACTCTTACTCAATTCTAGAATTTCTTCCCTGATTAAGTTATTAACAAAATTATAAACCAAAACTGTTACAGTCATGATTTCTAGATAGTCCTGGATAATTTATATATTTAATGCATAAAACCAAATGTTAGTTTGTAAGTTAAATTGGTAGATTTTCTGTTGTGTTTGCGGTTCTCTAGTCAGTTGTATCTTTGGCTTGGGGTTCATTAAGTAGGTGAGAAATGTATTTTTCCTCTCTAGATCTGGAGAAAATAAAGGCTTATATCGACTCCTTTCGTTTTGGTGCACCTCCACATGCAGGGGGCGGAATAGGTAAGTATCTGTATTCTATTTTGGTTTGTGTCAGCCTGAGCTTGATTTAAACTGCTCAGTCTCAAGGGGGGTTCAATATAAAATTCAGAACAGTAGCCTTGTTAGGTAAATGTGTGGGGCTGTTTAGCCTAGAGAATTTAAGGAGAGAAGCTAAAACGTAAGGATCATCATAAAATAAATAGGCAAAATATTAATAGCAAGTTTAAAAAATAGGTCATCACTAGAAAAAATGCCAATTTACTAGCCAAGCACATCACTTTCAAATTTGACCAATGAGGAAAATGTAAGGAAGCAAGAAAATGCTGTATTATGTATGGATTTATCATAGCCTGCTAACACCACGAGCCACCAGTGTCTTAGTGCATTTGATGAAGGTGTTCTGCAGTGAGGAGAAATAGGTGATTGCTTCTGTCTCGTTCAGTGATTTGACTGAATGTCACTGATCGATTGGGCTGGTGCTGATTGTTTCAGCCAAAGGTACTGAGGCTTCGTGTTGTGGGTGTGAACATGTTACATGTTAAAATGAAAAAAAGGTAGGTTTTAGGCATCTTAATGATAACAAGTTAGTTATGCACATTGCTTTCATTAGCAGGATGAAATCTGTTCATGCGTATGGAAATAGGACACTTGTAGGTCCTGATCAATAAACACAGTGATTTCTTTGAGTCAGTCTTTCGGCATTTGCCTTTTGTAAAGTATATTTAGTACATTCTCAGCATGTTCTCAGAACAACTTCCAAAGCGTGCCTTCAGTAAATGCATTAGATCTGTGATATGTTATTGAGATGACCGTTTCAAAATACCTACAAGACATAAGCGGCAATGATCTTGCGCTACTTGTGAGCAGAGGAGCTGCAGCCTTTGCAGACGATCTAAAATCATTTAGGCCAGTCAGCTTGGACATCAAGGCAGCTGAAGCTACATCTGTTCTGCAGAGTCAATGCTCCACATGGCACATCCCAGAGGTCAGGCCAAGTACCAGCCAAACAGGAGATGCTGTGAGAATTAACGCTGGTTTCTAGCTGTTTCAGATGGAAACCTTAGCATAGGAGGGCAGTGTGTGAAAACTAGCATGCATCTGGGTTTCATCTCAGCATGGCTGGGGTGCATATGGAGCCCCATGGATTAGGGAGTCTTTCCATGTTCCACAGTACACACATAAACTCAAAGATTTCAGGAAGAAAAACCACAATGATCGGTGGAAATGTTTATAATTGTAAAGATAGCAGATAGTTACACGGGTATGTGTTGCTGAATCTCCATTTTTGTTCTGTGGAGGGTTTGGGATAAAATTCCCCAGCTGTAGGTTTTTACTGTAGTTCCTTGTGGCACTTGGTGTCTCTTACTCTGAAGCTGTTCAGACTGGTGTGGACTGTACTCAAAATACAGTTCTCCTGATTACCCACCTCCCATTTCAGTTTTCTGCAGCGTCTTGAAGGTCAAAGTGATTCAGAGCAGGGTGGAGTCTCTAGTACCATTGCTTATTGATGCCTGTTCCAAAGGAAGCCTGTATGATGGCAGGGGCCACTGTAAAACCCCTCATTTCTGGTTCTAGCTCCTTTCTGTGTCGAGATGTGCTAATGCACACTCCTCAGCCTGTGCTCACACCACTGCCTGAGGCTGGCTGCAGGTATAAAGTACCTAGGGCTGCTTAAGAGTTTTGAACACAAGACTGACTATACTGATGGGTTTTTTTCATTTGTCGTAGGGCTGGAAAGAGTAACCATGCTGTACCTAGGGCTGCACAACGTGCGTCAGACCTCCATGTTCCCACGGGACCCCAAACGACTGACACCCTAACATGAGCGGCTTTTGAAAGTTTGAGCTGATTTGCTCTGCAAATACGATACCATGGCAAGCATATCCCCTGCTACTGATGAACCTGTATTGATTTGAGTATTATAATATGCAATAAAAAAGACAAAAAACAACATTTAATTTACTGAAGTGCCACAATAATTTTTTTTATCTGTAGCTGTTTATTTACAAGAAAATATTTTAACAGTTCAAGACTCTTTGTATTGGCAATTGTGGACATTTTTAATGAAAATGTGATACGTTGAGTTAGTGTTCTAGCATCACATTAAATTGTATCATATTTCTAAACATTTTGATAAATTATGCAATAAAAATTCTGCATTTTTAACTTATGTCAGCAAGACTGCATATTCTAAAGAACAGAATTGGCCTAAAGCTAAAATAACTGGACGCTTACAATTTAAAAATCAGGAGGAAACCAGCCAATTGTTAATTTATATGAGTGTCAGGTAGAGAAGCAGGTGAGAAGAACAACATGCTTAACAACAAGTCTTCATATGAAATTGTGAAAATGGATTGCAATAAATCTGTCAAAGTGAATTAGATACAATATCTGTCTCTGTTTCTTGCTTTGATAATAATGAATTAGTGAGGGTTCTTTTGGTTTTTTTAATGATGCAGTAACTGCCTAAAGCTTAAATTTATTTTCTTTTTATCTTCTCCCCCCCACTTTTTTTTTTTAAAAGCTGTATACAAGCCATAGGCCCATTCTTTATTTTATGTTACTATTTGAGAATGGATAAAAGGTCACACACACTCACGGAATATACAAGGGATACAGAATATTCTCAGAAAATAAATGGATGGTGAGTTTGAGAGCAGGTCATGTGTTTTCCTGCCTGACCCAGCCTCTAGAGTAACAAACAAATCACCAAGGATTTCATGTGTCTGTTACATTATTTGCTTTGCTTTCCTTAGCAAGCCAAGCTATTTCACGGTTGTTTTCATTTGTAAATGCGGTGAACGGTGCAACTGTTGCACATTTAGAGAAACTGGGTGTTTCTGTAAGTCAGAGTACTTCTGAAATTCTTTCTAGACATCCTTCTTCTCAAATGAATCATCTACTTGAACCTCCTCAGTTTGCAGTGATGGGCAAAGCTACTTCTCTTCCTCCTCCTCCCAACCCAAAGGATGTGCCCGCATTTGGAGAGGAACCTGCGTATTTGAAACTTCCTTTAATGGACTGCATCTGGTAGTTGTTTTTGAATTTAAAACATTTTTTAAGTGTGGATGCCAAAGAGCAAAGGATTAAATCCCTTACTGGGGCACTGCAATAGGTACTCTAATATTCATGTATATTTGTAATTCCCGACTTAATTTTTGCTTAACATTTTACGTGATAAAGAGCTTTCAGTAGGAGCTATGGTTTAGACAGTCCATGTTATTGTTGCTACCTTGATTTTTAAATGTCAGAGAAGTCACATACTGGTTATGCTACAAAAAGGTCAGTGAGGCTGTGTGTAAATTGTGTAGAATTTTACAAAAGGGCAAATCATCTTTTGCAGCTGCCATTGAACAAGACTTAATTTTAATGTTTTGTGACGAGTTCTCCATTACCTAACTGACCTTTAGTATGATTGTTTTCTAAAGTACTGGAAATGTAGAAGTTAAACTTTGTTTAGAAGTCACACAATTCAAGAAATAACATACTTTGCAGCTTTGTTTATGAGTCTGCTGTAAGTAATTTACCATGGAATTTTCCCCAAATTATTAACTTTAAAATCTGACAGCGTACCCAGTTGTACTTTACAAAGCTAAGTGGATTATAAACACAGCTTATCATCACAGACTTATTACTGATGAATCCAAGTTTCAAAACAGTTGTTGATTCAGCTAAGCCAACTGGAATGAATTTAATTTAATTACTTTTGTTCATATGGAACTTGTAATGTATTCCACAACAGAAGCGCATTCTTCTAATAAGGAGTAAAATTACTGACTTAGATTTCATGCCAACAACAACAACAAAAAAATATTCTGAGAACTATGTTGCTTGCTCTAGATTTGGCAGCAAGTTTTATGCATACATTGCGGTAACTGTGCTTATCCCAATTCTGTTAAGAGTCATTTGAGCTCATGGTGTAGTTTGATTTATTCATGGGAGCTGCACAAGAACGAAAATTCTGGATGGAGACCCTGATTCCTTTGTATGCAGAATCCATTCATGCATTTTTTTCTTAGCTAACTGAAAATAATTATGACCATAAATCAAAATGCAAAATGCGTTTGTCCTGAGTGTCATCATAACAGGGTACTTCAGTGTGAGCTGTGCATTGTTAGAACTTACTTTCTTTGAAACCATGCAAATAGTAATTTCAGAACTTTATGTTGCTTTGATAGGTAGTGACTCTGGTTTGGTAGTCCTGGAAAAGTCAAACCTGTATAGTGCTTTATTTCCAATAACTTGCAGGAAGTTTAGCATTTTACATGGAGTCCCCATTGCTGCTGCTTCTCCACCGGTTAAAATGTTTTCTTTCCCGATATACAGATGGTAATTACAATCGTGCAATTTTTTTTTAACTAAGGAACTAAAAAGGATGTTGGTAAGGAATAGCCAGGGAGTCATCTGCTCAAAACAAACACCACCAAGCTTCAGTTTGCTTTTGCAGTTGAACTACACCATTTTCCTGTGGAAACGCACCTGTGCTCACTGTGCTCTCTGAATCCACGCAGCAGGAAGGAGGGCTCGGGCTGTGCTTCGGGAAGCAAAGAGCAGGACTGGTTCCCCACGGCTGCGCACGCCAGCTGGGGCTAGAGCTGGGTGGGCAGCCAAGCACCACACAGCTGCTCGCTCCCTGCCCCCCAGCGGGACAGGGGAAGGAGTCCAAGCAGGAAAACGTGGTGCTCCCACCCCAGGGCAGCCCTCCGCATGAGCGTAAACTGAGGCCTGCACTCTGCTGCCCAAGGGATGGAGGAGAACGTGGTCTCCGTGGTGGCACACCGCTCGGCTGCCTCGGACTCCAGTTCAGACTGGGGTTGCAGCACATCCCACACGGTGGCATGGTCTCGTTCAGGCCATAGGAATCCAGTGTTAGCCTGCACCCCATGCACCTGCCTGACCGCTGCCGTACACCCTGCAGCCAGCAACGGGTCCCCTTTCAGCACCTTCCTGGGCGCCAAAGAGAGAGAGCCTGGAAAAAAAAGAGCAGGTTTTGCTGACAGCCATATCTAGAGTACACAACCTGTCCAAACATATTACATAGCTTAACTATTTACTATTCCTTCTTTGGGTATTATCATTATCTGCATTCATATCTGGGGTAGATTTGGGGTTTTTTCTGGTAGAAAGAAATTATGAAAAACTAGCAGAAGTTATCTAGGGTGAATTATTATTTCTTTTAAAATAAGTCTCACAACCAACTTGTGCTTGCGCACATTTTTGCTAGTATCATCTCACAAAATACGTAATTTATTTAACTGCAAGTTTTTAAAAAGTTAGCAAGTTACACTATTTTCTTATTTGGATTTAAAAGACCAGGTAAGTATAGGACAAGTTGTAAACAGTTGGGCAGGTTTGCCTTCTGCTTTGCCACCTCTTTAACCATTGGCCATCTTCAAAAAGAAAAAACAACAAAAAAACCCTCACAAAGCTGTAACTATGTACCCAAGCACAACAATCTGCATTAAAATAACACAACTTCAAAAAAAAAAAAGACTAACCTAGCTAGACCCTCTGCTCTGACCTCTGCAGTGGAGTGAACCGTGCAGAGCTGAATCTCATTATACCTGGAAAACCAAATTTCCAGGCAGCCTTTGCCATTTTGCAGTGGAGACTGCCCACGATGCCGCCAGCGCACCGTACGGTGGAACAGCAGCGCTGTGGGAAGCTTCGCTGCTCGCACTTTTTAAAGGGTTTCAGAACTGGAAAGGGGTCAGCCCTTCGCTGCCTCTGTTACAGCAAACCCCCCAGTTTAGGCAGAGATTAACGACTTTGCGGGTGGTGGAGAGATTCCGAGCAGCTTTTCATCGGTACGGAAATGGCGGCTGCTAGCGG